AGATCTCAGCCTCCTGAGCAGCTAGTATTACACATGTGAACTACCAGCGCCTGGCTTATTTCTAGCTTTTTGAGGGTTTATTGGAAATAAAAGTCTTAAGGACTTTCCTGTCCAGGCTGGCTTCAAACCAAGATCCTCAGATCTCAGCCTCCCTGAGTAGCTAGGATTACAGGTATAAGCCACCAATGCAGACTTCCTTCATTTTCATGCATCTGTGAAACTCCTCTCAAAGAGCCACACTGTCAAGTGACCCATCCCATTGTTCCCAGGGTATTCTCTGCAGCAAGCTCATCTCAACCCTGTCCAGGCCAGGAACAGAGAACCTGCCCCCCCACCCCTCAGTCCCCACATACACCATTTCTCCTGGAGCCAATGCTGGCCTCTTCTGTTTGCCTCCTTGATGGTAAACATTCCCCATAGCTTTCAGACACTTGAGAATCAAGTTCTTTGAGACCACAATGTCAAAGACTGATTTTATTCTTCCCCTGGGCTAGAACGGTAGTCAGAGCCCAAGCAGGGAGGTGGCAGAACTCAGGAACATGCTCCATCATCATCTCCAGAGCACATGGAGGCCCTGGGGTCCCGCCCCTGCCCCCCCCGAAATTCCAGGATCTTCAGCTCAAGGACACAGGGATTTGACCTGGCTTTGTTCTGCCATTTGCTTGGCACTGAAAGCTTTTTTTTTTGGTCGGTCATGGGGCTTGAACTCTGGGCCTAGGTGCTGTCCCTCAGCTCTTCAGCTCAAGGCGAGTACTTGCTCTACCACTTGAGCCACAGCGCCACTTCCAGTTTTCTGGTGGTTTATTGGAAATAAGAGTCTCATGGACTTTCCTGCCTGGGCTGGCTTTGAACCATGATCCTCAGATCTCAGCCTCCTAAGTAGCTAGGATTATAGGCGTGAGCCACTGGCACCCAGCTACCATAAGCCTTCTTAATTTGGAAAAGAAAGACCTTCCATTTGGGAGTATTTTCTTTGTCAGTTTCTCCCCCTCTGCTGTGGTTTAAGCGGGCCCCACAGCCTGTGTGCAGCTTAGGCTTGGGGCACAGGTGTTTGGAGGCAGGGTCTGACTGCCACTGCCCATTCACCGGAGTCTCTGTCACTTGAGGAAGCCTCTGGCCCATTAGCTTTCTCCTGCACTGTCAGTCCTATTACTCTGCTGTGTACCTCCTCCCTTCCGGAGACAAAGTGTTCAGGGTTCTGCGGTACCTAGGAAGCAGGCTAAGTGCCTAATGGATATCCAGCTTGTCTACCTTGAGCTTGGATTTCAGCCTCCAGAAGCATGGGAGGCAAGTACATAAATGTGTGTTCTTTAAAACTTATCTTGTCTCATTTTTCCTTTTGTGCCAGTCTTGGGGCTTTAACTCGGCCTGAGCTTTTTTTGATCAAGACCAACACTTTACCACTTGAGCCACCACTCCATTTCTGGCTTTTCCTGTTTGTGCTACTGAGGAATTGAACCCAGGGCTTTATGCATGCTAGGCAAACACTCTGCCACTAAGCCACATTCCTAGCCCATATTGTTTCTTTTCTTTTTTTCTGCCAGACCTGGGGCTTGAACTCAGGGTCTGGGCACTGTTTTTAAGCTTCCTTTGTTCAGAGCTAGTGCTCTACCACTTGAGCCACAGCACCACTTCCAGCTTTTTCTGCTTCTGTCATGCTGAGGAATCGAACCCAGGGCCTCATGCATACGAGGCAAGCACTCTACCACTGAGCCACCTTCCCAGCCCCTCCCTCAGACTCTTATCTACAGTTAACCACCAGAAAACCAGACTTGGCACTGTGCCTCAAAGGGTAGAGTGCTAGCCTTAAAGTAAAAGAGCTCAGGGACAGCACCTAGTCCCTGAGTTCATGCCCCATGACAAAAAGAATAAAAAGTGTCACAGACTTTCCTGCCCTAGCTGCCTTTGAACTGCAATCATCAGATCTTATCCTAGATAGCTGGGATTACAGGCATGATCCACCCGGCCTGGTATCATTAATGTTTCTTCCTTTGTTGTACAGTGATAGTTACTTAGTGTTTTATTTTTTTCTTTGCACTAGGATGACGGGCAGATGAACCGAAGCTCGAGGAGGGTGATGAGAGGGGGCCCTGCTAACTGCACAAGAGAGAGGTGCCTGGCAGACAGGGTCAGAGCAGGTGGGGGCCCATGTGGGCAGTTCCCAATGGAGAAGCCTATGGATAGCCTAGGCGGCCTAGATGGTGTCAAGGGCCGGGGCCGGGGCCAGGGCCAGGGGTCCCAACTGGTCTCCAGCCAGGGTGTGAGAGCTTCAAAACGGAGCCTGGCTGAAGCAGGCTACAAAGGTGCCGGGGAAGCCGGAGCCACATTCCTGCGTCAGTTCTCACTCCTGCCAGCAGGTGGCACACAGCCTCACCTTCCCCTGGGAGGCTGCTGCCCCTGAGCTCCGTGCACCGGAGCCAGCCAGCACCAGCCATGTTGAGTGATGAGGGAACTAGGGGTCCACAATGTTGGGGTCTTGTAGGACAAGCGGTGTGGGGAGCAGGAGCCTGGAGAAAGACTGGGTTCATCCTGAGCCCCTAAGATCCTAGACCTGAAGAGGGCCTAAGCCCTGTGAGGCTGGTGTGGAGTCAGGGTGGTGGAGAGGTCAGGCTGGTGTGGAGATCAGGCTTGTTGAATCAGGGTGGTGTGTAGCCAGGTTGGTGGGGAGGCCTGGCTGGTGTGGTCAGGCTGGTGGGAAGGCTTTGGGGCCAGGCTGGATCTGGCAGTGGGTTCCTTGGCTCTGGAGCATGGAGGCCAGGCGTGTGTTAGGGCTGGCTGAACATGGCTCATTGGGGCAGCTCAGGACCTCATATACTACCAAAACTTGCTGGGACGGAGGCTTTCCCAGGGGCAGCAAGGACTGGCCTCCATGCCAGGCACCCTCTTGCTCTCTCCGTGATTCTCTGCCACCGCTTGGAAGGCTGGGACCTGCCCATCTTGCCGTCAGGGGCTTCCTGTCCACTGCTCACTGCCCTGGGAGCCTTCCCAAGTGAGACCCCTCTCAGTCCCTCAGCTGTGGCCGAGGGAGGCCTGCGAGGGGGGGGGCACATCTCCAGCAGTCCATAGGCTGTGGCCAGCCTGGGTCAGGCCCCTCTTGGCACTGGTACTGGGAGATTCTAACCCAGAGCTGGCACTAGTCTCTCTGAAAATACTTCCATTGGATGGCTGCAGAGAGTGGGCCTGGCTTCTTTCAGCAGTAGCACGGCTGACATTCCAATGCCTTGGAGCAGAGAAAGCTAGAGAAGTCCGCTCAGCGAGCGAGCGAGCGAGTGGACTACTGCCACTGCGCGGTGGGTTCCTCCCCGGGACAGTGTGGCTATGCAAATAGAACCTCAAGATTGTCTTCCTCCCTCTGGGCCCTTCAGGAAGCCGGCCTCTGTCATCCTGAAAGCCTGGAATTCCAGGGGCCAGCACCACAAGGGGGAGTGGCCGGGGGGAGGGACCACAGTGCACAAGCCAGACAGGAAGAACAGCAAGGAGAAAGCAGGCAGGGTCCAGCTCTCCAGGGGTCCCTGTTCACCTTAAAGAGCCTTTACGCAGAGATGGGGGGAATGCAGGTCACCTCCCTGGGTGCCACGCAGACCGGTGGGCAGCTGACAGGGCTCCCCTCCCGGACCCAGCCACAGCGGTGGCCAGAACAGCAACTTGAGTTCATTGAAGGTTTCCTGCTGGAAGCCCCAGCTTGGGACACTAGACAGGCATCACTTCCTCCTCTCCCCCGGAAGGATGAGACCCAGCCAGGCTTCCAGGAGGCAGCCTGCCTGCTGCTGCCGGGCGCTGATCTACAGCCAGCGTCCCAGGGCCCGCAGCTCAGTCCACTGAGGCCCAGGAGAGCCACAGTGCTGACACCTCAGAGCCTGAGCTGATGGGAAGTGCAGCCAGGTGTCCCCATGTGCAGGCCCGCACAGCCGGTGCTGGCCTTGCAAGTGGGAAGATTCTGTGGTCCTTCTGGTCTGCCTAGGGGACGTCCCTTACCTCTGCTCACAGCTTTTGCTTTCTTTTTGGTAGGAAGGGACCCATGTGGGAATCCCCTGTACTGTGACATCTACAGTGACTCACCCTTTTGAAGCCAGAGATCAGGCTGGGCCGGAAGATGTGGAGTTCCCAGGACAGAGGTGTAATCAGTTCTGAACTGGTGGGGGTGGGGTGGATGGTCACTTCCCTATTCAGTCTCTCTCTCTCTCTCTCTCTCCCTCTCCCCCTGATTTCAACACTGTACGCTTGGCAGGCCTGTCATTTAAATAAAAATTTTATCATTGTTTTTTGTGTGTCTGCTGGTACTAGGCTTGGGAACTGTCTTTTAGCTAATTTTCCACTCAAGGCTGTCACTACCATTTGAGCCACAGATCCTTTATTGACTTGGTGGTTAATTGGACATGAGTCTCACAGACTTTCATGTCCAGGCTGTCTTGGAGCTGCTCCTCAGCCTCCGGAGTAGCTAGGATTACAGGCATGAGCCACCTGGCCCACACTTGGCTCTTACTGTGGCTTGGTAGATGCCCCCCAGTACTGCTTGCTTCTATGTTTCCTGTGCTGTATACTTCCCTGAGTCAGGAGGGCAAGGTGTTTTTTAATAATGATTCTTAAGATTTTGTTGTTATTATGAAGGTGATGTACAAGGGGCTTACAGTTACATAAATGAGATAAAGAGCCCATTTCTGGGGCTGGGAAAATGGTTCAGTGGTAGAGTGCTTACCTTGAATGCTTGAGGCCCTGGGTTCGATTCCTCAGCACCATATAAGCAGAAAAAACAGCACACGCCGGGCCCCCAACCTGCCAAGCGGCACGAGCAGGCCGAGGTACCACGCCGCGGCTGTGCCGACCAATCGGCGTGCGCTGCGGCTCCCCGCTCGCTCCTGATAGGCTTCGGCGTCCGTCTGTAAAGGGGCGGGGCCGTGGCAAGGAAGAGCTATCCAATTGGCACACTCTGCGCTCCCTGAGCTCTCGCGATAGGCTCCGGCGTCCGTCTGTCAGGCGGGTTTGGGGCGGGGTGGGGACAGCGGGGGCGGTGGCCGGACGGGCGCTGAGTTCCGGGCGCGCGGAGACCGTTGGGTGAGGCGATGCGGGTGTGGGTGCGGGTGCGGGTGCGGGTGCGGCGCGGGTCCGGGTCCGGGTCCGGGTCCGGGTTCGGTCCGAGTTCCGCACAGGTCCTGGCCGCGCTCCGCGGTGGAGTCAGGACCGGGGCGGCGGGCGGGAGGGCGGGCCCGGGCAGCCGCCGTCCGGGGGATTTCTCAGAGCCGTGGAGCCGGAAACTGAAAGTTCGCGACGCCCGAGGCCGGGCTTGGCCTGGGGCCACGCCTGGGGTCGTCGCTTGGGGGGCCTCGGGGTAACGCGCGGAGACCCAGGGCAGAGGTGACGGCCGC